GGGAGGAGAGGAGAGGAGAGGAACATTGGCATACCAGGAGCTAATCTGGTGGGACCTGGGCCTGGAAAGGGTGACATAATGATCACTAGTCTAAATTCAGCCCTGGGAGCCTGGCAGGCAAGGGGGTCATGCTATAGATCCAGCCGGAAGCTGTGGGCAATGTTTGAACCTAAAAGTCACAGGGCAAAGGTCAGTGCTAGATACACATGGCGGGGATGGGCAGATACAAGGTTCTGACTGGGAAACCTCCAAAGATGTCCAAGAGAACAGACAGACACCAAAGAGGACAGACATCCAAGGTGGGCTCAGTCCACTGTGTTCAGGCCACTGGCCACCTCACATCCTCTCAGTTGTTCTGCTCGATGTGGGAATGCACTGGAAATGCCGGGGGCCCTAGAGTAGGCTGCCTTCAGACCAGGCTGGGCCAAAGCCAGCTCGACATTCTCATCCCCACCCTCCTCCAGCCCCAGGCTCCTCTCAGCCCAGAGCCTGCCTGACAGCTGAGGTCCTGCAGCTGCCCCGGATCAAAGGTCTCAAGAACAGCTGCTACTCATGACCTCACTGACCCTGGTTCCTGGACACTCTTCCCTGTCTCCACTGCCCGCTCCACTCTCCTGATTATGCCCAGGGGCTCCAGGGCGTGTCCCAGCACCCAACAGGAGCACAGATGTGACGGCAAGAGCAGTGCCCAGCCCTGGTGCTGTTCAGAGGAGGCTTTTCCACCCAGCAGGAACAGTATCGGGAAGGAGGGCTCCCCTCTGGCCCACTTGCACTGAGCCTGTTCTCACAGCTCACTTAGGGGCCAGAGGTGACCTCTCGTAGAACAAGCAGAGATGGAGAGCAAGTTCACGCCTGACTCCCGGCAGGTTTCTCCCGAAGCCTGCTGTTCCCATGAGTGCCTGAGGCCCCTAGACCATTTCTGGTAACAGAAGTTGCCTCTAGGGATATGGGTCACAGGGCTTGGGGCTTGGGTCACTCCCATATCCTGTTCAAACTCAATATATAGCTGAAGCTGGCCTTAACTCCTGGTCCTACCTCCTGAGTGCTGGGATTACATGGGTGTTTATTCAGTGCTGGGGATCGAACCCAGAGCCTTGCTCATGCTAGGCAAACACTGCCAAATGAGCTACGTCACCAGCCTTAATTTTTTTGTTTGTTTGTTTGTTGTTTTTTGAGACAGGGTTTCTCTGTGTAGCCTTGGCTGTCCTGGAACTCACTCTGTAGACCAGGCTGGCCTTGAACTCATAGAGATCCGCCTGACTGCCTCCCGAGTGCTGGAATTAGAAGCCTGTGCTACCACCACCCGGCTGCTTCTTTTTTAAGGTTTATGATGGGGAGGGGGTTGCAAGGGCAGAGGGCAGATATGAAGGGATGAGGAAATGAATGGGATTGAGATGCATGATGTGAAAGACCCAAAGAATAAATAAAAAAAAAGGAAGTTATAAAAATAAAAGATTTATCTTAGGCAGAGCATGGTGGCATATGCCTTTAATCTCTGTACTTGGGAGGCAGTGACAGGCGGATCTTTGTAGTTTAAGGCTAGCTTGCTCTACAAAGCGAATTCCAGGACAGCTAGGGTGATTACCCAGAAACCCTATCTCAAAAACACACACAAAAAAAATTATTTTTGATTTATGTATGTGGGCTACATGCATGTGAATGCAGGTACCTTAGAAGGCCAGAGGTGCCAGATTGCCCTGGAGCTAGAGTTACAGGCAGTTATGAGCCATCTGAATGTGGATGCTGGGAATTGTACTCTGAAAGACAACAGATCCTCTCAGCCACTGCGCCATCTCTCCAGCCCCATCCCTGCCTTTAACAACAAAAATAATCACAACTTTCCTGCCACCTAATTCCTGAAGTGCTCCATAGCCTGTCACTTATGCTATTCACTCTTGATCCCCAAGGACTAGGAGGGTCTTGTTCACAATTGTCTCAGTTCTGCTGGAGTGCATGGCATATATCACCTCTTCAGTGCTGGGATCACAGACTTGCACCACCAAGCTTGGCTGGAATTAAACTTCATCGTGGGTGTACTCAGGGGTCAGTGCATATCCAAACCACAGCAAGCAGTCTGCAAAATATAATGCCAACAGAAAGCCACAGAGGCCCCACAGAAGATGGCTTTCCCCATCACCCTCAGCAGTCGGTCCTGCCCTCCCTGTGACTCCCATCAGGGCCTGCAGGATTTGGGGGCTCAGCTTGTCTAAATATTTAGCATTTGTGTAGAACAGATGGGAGGAGCCTTGCCTGCTCAACAGCTCTGGGAGTGTTCCTGAAGCTGATAATGACATCATCTCTGCCTGGAGGTCAGGGTATGCAGAAACTGACTCTTGAAACTTCTGAGTTTTGAACCACATGAAAAGATACCTTGTTGGGAAAGTAATTTCAATTAAAAAAAGAAGTGTGAGTCTGGATTGGGCATGGGAATGCAACCTGTAATCCCAGAATTTGGGAGGCAGAGGCAGGAGAATGAATACAAGTTCAAAGCCAGTCTACATAGTGAGTTTCTTAGGTACGATTTCTAGTGCACTGCCAATGAAACATGTTGAAGAAAACGCAAGCGGGGGGGGGGGGGGG